TCACCAGTTGGGAGACGGAGCTCAGTAGAAGGACAAAATGAATAAAGGTGAGGAAAACCTGCCAACATGTGACCCGTGATTCAGGCTTGAGGTTTTTACGGTCACACACACACATTACGTGTCTTCGTAATACACAGTATATTCTACACCGAGCGCAAAGTATATAATCAGAAAATAAATGTTTTTCTCCCAGCAAAGAAGGGTCCCCCAATGCTGTCCCCTGGCCCCCTGGCCTTGAGCCTGTTAAGGCATCATGGGTACCTGCTCCTAAAAGACAAATGGTTTTGTTGCTTGGGAAGGGTTGGGCCTGGGGAAAACTGCCTCTCTGGGAACTGAGGGGTGTGTGTGTGAGAGAGAGAGAGAGAGAGAGAGGAGAGGGAGATTTCTTGTAAAGTGTTTGCCAAGTTATTTGGGGGGTGACCATCTGCATCCTGAGGTCCAGCCATCGGCCCTTTTGGGTATTTCACTCGAATGGCTCAGCTTCCCAGGCAGAGACAGACTTTGCCAGAGAAAGAGCTGCGAGCACCTCCTCCCTCCCAAGGAGGCACATTGTTACTAGCTGGGAATTCTTTATAGCTGGGCCTGAGGAAGTTCTTGGCTGTAAACTGTCATGCACCGCAGCCTTCATTGAAAAGCCTGGAGAGTGCAGACGCTTGCCCTGAGAACCAGGGAACAAAGATCCAGAAAATGAGGCGCAGAAAGGTGGGGGGAAGAACAGGTAGTGAAGGCCGGCAGAGCCCCAGAGGGACACACAGTCAGTTACTCCCAGCCTCTAGCTCGGCCAGCAAGTGGGGCTAAATTTCTGGGGGGTGTTCTTGAACACTTGGGACTTTTCTTCGTCGAGGGGAAAAATGTCATTGCAAACGTTTGAAATCTAACATTCTTTTCCGATGGGGTTTTGTTCTTATTTGGTCGTGCCCACTGCTGTTAGGGGAGCCAACTGAAATCAGAGCCACAGTTCTGGAACGATCTGAAAGTCCTCCAGCATTGGTGAGCTCTTTTGGATTTTGGGAAAACGACCCCAAAAGGTCAGCGCAAGAGAGCTCGAGTCTTAGGGCTGGGGGTGTTGGACTTGTAGCTTCTGACCCTGGTTTTAGAGACCCTCAATCGCCACTGGGGACCCCCCCCCCCCCCCCCCACCTCACACCCAGCTTTTCCCCTTTATTCCAAGGGCAGAAGAAGCTCAGGCGGTCTTAGGCCGCAGAAATGACCCTTGAGACACTTTTATTTTCTTAGGAAAGACGCACTCACAAGCCCTCCAAATCCCATGGCCCGAAGAGCCGGATGGAGGGCGACTCAGGAGGGTCCGGGTGTCAGGGGCAAATGAGGTCCTTTTGGTGCCTCTTTCCAGAAGAAAAACTCCCCCCTCGGGTCATCCCCTTGGGTATCCCAAGCATCTGAGACAACAAAAGAAACTGAGAAATGCCGACAGTATGGAGGCGCGCCGGCCTTCCCGACTCTTCAGTACCCATTTGGAGAGGGGCGGAAAATCAGCCCTGGAAGCATCCTCACTCCACCCGGGGGGCACCAGGCGCCCCCCCTTTATCGCTGGGCTGGCTCCCGGAAGGCAGAGGCCCGGCGCTCCTCCGCCCCCGGCCGGGATCCCTCCCGCGGCTTGCCCCGCGCTTCCAGACTCCCGAGCGAGCCCGGCCGGGCGCCCGCCGGAACGGGGTAGCCGGGGCGCGCAATCCAAGTCCTTCCGGGAGAGCCCCCTAGCTAGGGCGCGGGACTGTCCTGAACGGGGCGCCCCGCCCGATGCACTGGCTGTTCCCACAGGGCGTGGGGGTGCGGTGCGCGCGAAGAAGACCTGGAAACAGCCTGGAACCCCACGCTCGGGCTAGAGTGGTGGGCAAGGGGCTCCGAGGCGCACAGCCAGCGCTCGGAGCGTCTACTTCCTTCTCTCTTCCTGGGCTCCCGTTTTGGGAGGAATGTTACTGTTTAGAGAGACCTTATTGAACTATTTCCTGCTCATTGTCACCTTTCCTTCGCTCTCCTCGCGGAGGTTCTCACCGAAAGGTAATAAACCACCCGCTCCCCACGCCCCCGGGCGCGGCGGCTGGCCGGGGCCCGGCAGGGTGGCGCACCCCAAACCCCGCTCTCGGGAGAGCACCCTGGCCAGCGCCTTCCCACTTCCACCTTCCACAGAAACAAAGATCAGCCCACAGAAGCCACGCAAACTCCCAGGTCACACTGAGTGCACGCGCCTTTTTTACACAGGAAGCGGGAAAACTTCCTAAAAGGGCTCGTTTGGTTGATTTTTGAGTATTTTGCTCTGTGGGCCCGGAGCCCAGCCTGTGGCAGAGACCCGTGAAGGCGCGGGAACAGGGGGCGCCGGGGTGGGCTGGTCCACGGGCATAGGTGTTAGCGGAGACACCTGCAGCGCCGCGGGGCGAGGGACGTGTCGGGACGCGACTCCGCTCGGTGGAGCGCTGAGCCTTCCAAGGAGCGAGAGCAGCGGGACCCGGGCGAAGCCGACGGCGCGCGCCCTTCAGCGGGGCTGGGCTCGCCGGGCGCCGGCGGGGCGCCGAGGGCCTCCGGCCGCGCGCAGGTGAGCCCGCGGTGCGGTCCAGGCTGGCACCCGTGCGAGAGCTGGGGCGCGTCGCGGGCGGCCCGGCAGCCCCTCGGGGACGTGCGGGCCGGGGCGAGCTCGGGCGCCCGGCTCCTCCGCCCCCACCGCGCCCGCGGCCCGCCCCGCCGCTTTGATGGAGGTGCAAACATTTGGGGGAGGGCGGAGGTGTCGGGGCTGGGCCGCGGCGCGCTGGGCAGGCCCGGGATTTACAGGAAACAGGCGCGGGAGCCCATTGTGGGCCCCCGGGCGCCCCAGCCCGCCGGTCGGGTCTGAAATGGCCGCGCGCGGCCAATGGGCAGCTGCCCCCGCACTTCAAAGGGCGCGCGGCCCAATCCGCCGGCCCTCTCCGCCGCAGCCGCCGCTCTATTTATGGGAGGGGACGCAGTTTGTCTCCGCAGAGACCTACGCTAGCCGTGCCTCGCGGGAGTTCAAGGGGAAGAACCTCCCCCCGACCCCTCTCCCCCGCCCCCTCCCCCCCAGATCTCGGTCCGCGCCCTCCTCCGGGGCCAGTGCTGGGAGCCCTGCGCCGTCTCGGGAAAGCGGCCGCCGACCGCGGTGAAGGTGGCTCTCGCGTAGCGAGTCGGGGCTTCGGGGGGCGGTGGGGAGGGGGCGGGCAGGAGGATGAGCTCCCCCGGCTCCGAGAACGCGGGGAAGAGCCTGCAGTACCGAGTGGACCACCTGCTGAGCGCCGTGGAGAGCGAGCTGCAGGCGGGCAGCGAGAAGGGGGACCCCACGGAGCGCGAGCTGCGCGTGGGCCTCGAGGAGAGCGAGCTGTGGCTGCGCTTCAAGGAGCTCACCAACGAGATGATCGTGACCAAGAACGGCAGGTAGGCGCGCCCGGACTTCGGCGTGCGCCAGGCTTTCGGGAGGCCTGGAGGAAACTTTCCCGCTGTCCGAGGTTTCCTCCCAGTGGGGGTCTTCTTGCTCCTTTCCGCTCGGCTCGGGAACAGAGCCCCTGTGTCCCCTCATCGTCGCTCGCTGGGGTTTTCTCCGCGGAAGTTTGGGAGAAGTCTCCCAGACCCGCGTCTTGGCCGCTCGCGGGAACCCTCGGCCAGGCTCTCGGGGACCCTGCCTCCGGGGGCGGTGGGATAGTGTGGAGGACGCTGGGGACTTGGGGGGGGGGGGGCTCTGGGAAGGCGGGGCCTGGGGGCTTCTCTTTGCCCCACAATGACAGATGCCTCTGTCCCAAGCTTCGTGCCTTAGGTCTAAAGGTCTGAAAGGCTCAGATCCGGGGTCCTCCGGCTGCACTCCTTCCTTTGCAGGAGGATGTTCCCGGTGCTGAAGGTGAACGTGTCTGGCCTGGACCCCAACGCCATGTACTCCTTCTTGCTGGACTTCGTGGCTGCCGACAACCACCGCTGGAAGTATGTGAACGGAGAGTGGGTCCCGGGGGGCAAGCCAGAGCCTCAGGCGCCCAGCTGCGTCTACATCCACCCCGACTCGCCCAACTTCGGGGCCCACTGGATGAAGGCGCCCGTCTCCTTCAGCAAAGTCAAGCTCACCAACAAGCTCAACGGAGGGGGTCAGGTAGGTGTGATGGAGCCCGCGGGGGTTGGAGGGGGCAGGGACAGCGCCAGGCGAGGCCAGGTCCGCACCTTCGGCGTGGTGGAAGGGACTGTGCTTGCGCGGGAGGTGACATCTGTCCTGGAGAAACTGCCACAGCCTTCCTCAATTAAGCCTGCAGTGTTGTTTATAGTAAACTGATGGTGGTTAACACCAAGGCGGGGAGCTGGGGGCGGGGAGGGTGCAGGGCTTCCTCACCTTTAAGGACTCAACAGGTCTCAGGCATTGGGGAACTTTTGCATTCAAGTCTTCACCTTACCTAGAGGTAGAGAAAATATCAGCCTTGATGGTAAGCGGTCACTTTCCAGCTAAATATGTGCCATTGTGTTTGCTGCGTGGTCTGAACAGACATGTAAATTTGTCCTCTTCTAAGAATGTCTTTACTTGGGGGATTTTTTACTGGGAGACCCCATGTTCAAACAAGATGCAAACAAGCTCAGGCTTTTAAAGATGTCTCTAGCCATCCTGGAAGCTTTAGAACGTTATTGTACCAGGTCAAAGGATTTCACGATGGGCATTCATTGCCTTTAATGGCGTGTAGCACCTCACATTCCTTTCCTTGAACCAGTCGTGGGAAGCAGCACCTGAGGGGAAACCCACCAACTTCAACGGTAAAGACACTTTCTTGAGAGCTACAGCATTTTCTGCACCTTGGATGTATTTTTCTTCTCAACAGCAGGGCAAATGGATGTCTTGTTATCTGAAAGTCTTGCCTGTGTCCTTCCCTCAGATCATGTTGAACTCCTTACACAAGTACGAGCCTCGGATCCACATAGTGAGAGTTGGGGGCGCACAGCGCATGATCACCAGCCACTGCTTCCCAGAGACCCAGTTCATCGCAGTGACCGCTTATCAGAACGAGGAGGTGAGCAGCCGGGTGGGCATGTGTCCCCTGTGAGGTCGCAAAGAATGTGGACATTCTGTGTGTTGGTGTACTTTAGACTGAAAGGTTATCCCTTTTCAAATCATCTACTATGACCATAGAATTGGGACAGGGGGGAGAAATTTTAAAATGTGTGCCTGTTCAAGCATTTCTCCTTTAATTCTCTGTTAAAGTGTCTATAAAATAGACACTATAAAATAGAACCATCTCCTAAATTCTCCGAGTGAAAAGAACAAAATATTTAGGTTAAGTTCTATGAGAATTTCTTGAGAACAAGATGAGTAAGAGAGGCAATCTTTGGAGATCTTCCTGAAAGGGTGGGTGGCAACTTTCCAAACCTGGGCAGTGTGAAGGGTCATCTAGATACAAAATACCGGTTAGTGCCCGTAAATCTCTAAGTCTACCCCAAAGTACAGACATTTTGTGATTAGCTGGTTAAGTTGTCAGTATTGAGTGCCAACTAGAAGGAGCAAATCGCTATTTCCTAAGCAGATTCAGGTAATGTTTTGAGCCATGTTTGTGTGATTTATGCACACAGAATGTTGTCAGCAGTAGGTTAAACTCACTGTGAATTCCACTCAGAAAAGCAGCATTTAAAAACTTCCATAAATGTACTGTTCTTTGTTAAATATTACAATTACTCAGCCACTTCAGACTCAAATAGAAAAATAGACCTGGAAGAAAGTCTGATCATGTTTGAATATTTAAAGGAAGGGGTACTGATGTTTCCCAATTTCTCGGGACCAAATTAAATCCTCTGGCTAATGGACAGTGTACCAGTCAATGTGATTTCTTTTTTTTTTTTTCAGATCACAGCTCTTAAAATTAAATACAATCCATTTGCAAAAGCTTTCCTTGATGCGAAGGAAAGGTGAGAGAATTCTAACTATACCCTTTGGGCAGAGAAATATGCAGAAAGAGGAAATATTGCTGCAAATGGTATTTTCCGAATGTTCTTTTTGACGACTCAATACACTTTTTTGACAGAAGTGATCACAAAGATATGATGGAAGAACCTGGAGACAGCCAGCAGTCTGGGTACTCCCAATGTACGGTTTGTTGCGTTCCGTCCCCACGTCTCTTGCTTCCAGGACTAGGCTGCTGAGAGCCAGAGCTGGGGATGCAGCTGACAGCGGGTTTCTGAGTGTGGCTGGGGAGCAGACCGCCCACCATGGGCCCATGATGTTGGAGCTATGTCTTCAACCTCTGCTCTACTTGAGGCTTGTGGATGCGCATCTGGCACTTGGGACTCTTGACAGAGAAGCCAGGGGAGAACTTACCTGGGCTCAGTTGTTTGGCTTCGAGGCAGCTCCCACCATGGCCGTGTCAGATGGTGGAGATCTTGGTGGGGGTTTAGACTCTGCTCTGTTGGGCAAGTGGAGAAGCCAGCTTGTTATAGCTACTTTGAGATGGTTTCTCTTGTTATTAATGATGGCAGACCAAAGGACCACCTTTGGAAGGATGCTTATGAGCAGATGTGATTTTTCCCGTAGCCCATTTCAGTTCCAGGAGTGGCCCAGCAACCCCGGCTCGTTTTGGTGGTGGGGACAGTGGCTTGTAGGATGGGGAAAGTGCTTTAAGTCCAGCTTCCTTTCCGAGTTCCACGAGCCAGAGCAAAGTGGCACAGGTCTAAGGAGCAGTGTCTGTTAGGAGACAAAGTTTTGTGTGGCTCTCCTCTCTATGCAGGGAAGGGGCTTGTAATTTAAATAACTGACATTATCGGGAGAGAAAAGTTAGTGCTTGTTGCCACTTCTAGAGGCCGAGGGGACCAACGTGGCACATTCTGCGGACACTCTTTTTCTGTTCCCTTTTTCTTCGTTAATCATCTTCTGGGCTAATTTAACAAACAGCTCTCCTAAAGTGGCTCATGGGCTGCCGTCGTTTGGGCATTTGATGGGGGGCAGGCTTTGTGGGCAGATCCGGACCTTTCTCTCATTTCAATGTTGTCTGAAGCATTGTTTGTCGTTTGGAAATTATAGCCAGAGTAGTTGTCCTCTTAGAGGTTGCTTTTCTGAATTAAAAGCAACAACAACAGACTTAAAAGCAGGGAACGGAGAAGAGATTGGAGTGCGAGAGGCAGGCAGGGTAACGGCAGAGTGACTTTCTGACGGGTGTGCACAGTGGGGAGAAGGTGAGCCTGAAGCAGAAGAAAAGTGGACAGAAAACAACACACGTCCAGCCAGGACACAGCTCCCCGTCGTGGTGAGGTGGTAGGAGCAGGCCAACGGGGGGGAGGGCACCACGCACGTGACTTGCCCCGTGTGTCTCCAGCGCATCTGGCTCTGAATTTTGTGTTTCTGTGTTTTTTCATGCTCAGCAGGTAGGGCTTCGAAGCTGATGGGCCTGGGAAGATTCTGGCAGGTTTGAATTAGAGAGGTTGAGGAAGCAGTGGGCGTTGGCCGAGGCTGGGGCCGGGTCCCCCAGCTCTTCTCAGGTGCCCCGTGGGTTTGGAAACCCTGGTCAAACTGTGGCCTCTCATGTGGAGCTGAGGCCCAGATGCCTTAAGACTTGGACTGGGGGACTCAGTGCAAGACCCTATGCATCCTCTCGTCATCGGGGACCCCTCAGGAGGAGACCCACTGATTCCTGGTCTCAGCTCTCTGCTGTCCTTTAACTAATGGAGGTAATACAAATGCCAGTTACTCAGCACTCTTTTCCCACAGCAGGGGGGTGGCTCATCCCTGGAACCAGCAGCCTGTGCCCACCTGCCACCCCCCACCCTCAGTTCGGAGGGCCCCTCTCACTTCCCTCTACGCACGGCTGTGAAAGGTACCCCGCCCTGAGGAACCACCGGCCATCCCCCTACCCCAACCCTTACACACATCGGAATAATTCTCCAAGTAAGTCCTAAGTCAAAGTCTGCCTGGGGTATGGGGGTGGATGGAAGACCACTGCAGGAAAGGCCTCTGTAGGATTGATTCCAGAGATCAGGGGAGGAGAACCTCTTTTGGAACACACACCCAGGCCAGTTCTTTAGTGGGCTCAAGAGGGACCTTTATTTCAGGTCCAAGCTATGGCTGCTGGCTCAGCCGCTGAGAGGTCCAGACCAGGGGGCTGTGGTGCCGAATGTACTCAGTTACTGCGGAAGCTTTTTCACCCTGCAGCCGTGGGTCCATCTCTAAGGGCCCAGGTTTGGATAGTTTATGAACCTCTCTAAAGTGATGATGTTGGGTCAGCCAGGTATGAGAATTACTGGCTTAACTAGACCCACGCACGATTTTCCGTGACTCTCCCACTGATCCACGAAGTATGTTTCTCCACGTGTGGTGCCTGGAGCGTCTGCAACAGCATCACCTCGAAACTGGCCCAGGCAGGCGGGATCAGCAGGCTTCCAGTGATCCCAGTGCGTGCTTACGGGCTACAAACACAGGGCTGGACCATTAAGATCCCTTTAAACTTCCTCTAACACCACGTATGCCCAGACTTAATTTTGTCTGGCTCTAAAAGGAGGAACATAGCTAATGAACACCATAAAGCAATTAAGCAATTAAAGCTGATTTGAAACGAAAGGACCTTATTTGATGAAGAAATAGTCATGGGGTCTTGTTGAAGCAGCAGCTAGACTCTGAGGCTAGAAGATCATATTTTAGTGTTGCCCGGAGTATGGTTTTTAAGGTGTTTTCATCTCTTAAGAAATAATATTTTGGGAAAAGGCAGGTTAAAGTTATATTTATGTTTATTTTTGAGGATAATTAATCCCCAGTCAAGTGATCGTAGGATCCCTTTCTACAGGGCATCTATTGATCTGAAGATAAAGAAAAGCTTGGATTTACTAAAATTTATTTTCTAATATATACATTTGGCCATAAATATTTGCCTTTGGTGACCAATTAAACAGGCCAATGGATAGTCTTTTTTAAAAAGATTTTTTATTTATTCATTTGAGAGAGAGAGATAGAGAGAGCACAAGCAGGAGGAGTGGCAGAGGCAGAGGGAGAAGCAGGCTCCCCGCTGAGCCGGGAGGCTGATGCAGAGCTCGATCCCAGGACCCCGGGATCATGACCTGAGCCGAAGGCAGACGCTTAACCCACTGGCTTGGGTAGTCTTCTGTTCCATATTCCAGACTCATTTTGTTTTCAGTGTTGGGTAGTGCCAGTTGTTGCTAGTCTTTCGCTGCATTCTGTCGCTCCTGGAAGACCCCCCACTAACGAAGCTTTCTTTGCCGCATAGCCTATTCTGACAATCCATCTGCATGTCTGTCCATGCTCCAATCCCATGACAGTTGGCCCAGCCTTGGGACGCCTGCCCATACCAGCATGCTCCCCATGAGCCACAGCGCCGGCCCACCCACCGGCTCTAGGTAACGTATGTGTGGACATGATGCGCACTGTCCTGGGACTATGGGTGTGACATCATGCCATTTCCATCCATTGGTTTTTATTCTGCCTCTTCACCTGTGGGCGGCTGGGCTATTATTGACAGTTGTATCACTAACCCAGGATCCCAGGTTACATGACCACTGTGTTACTGTTCCAGTCTGTCTTCTGGGAGGACCAGGGGCCCCCTCGGGGTGGCATGCATGGAGCTGGGCTGTAACAGAGGGAAGTCAGGGCCCCCATCCTGGCTCTGGCACTTACTAGTTCCTATAGAGGACATGTCTCTTAAATTCTCTGAGCCTCATTTCTACAAGAAAAAATATGTTATATAACCCCAGCCTCAGCATGTCTTTACAGAGTTGTTGGGGTCAGCAGGTGAAATTTGAAGAAATGTTTCTAGAATCGTTTTTGACAAGAGCTATTAAATTGAGGGGAAAAAAATGTGTTGGCTTTTCTGTGCATACAGGATCAAAGTCCTTAACATATATGCTGGTAACTAGTAAAGAAAAATGAATATTTTATTATTAGCTTGAAAATAATGTACAGGGAGATTGGCTTAAAAATCAAGCTGATTGGTAAATGTATTGCTGTTTTTCATAGGATTATTATAAAAAAACTGAATCAAAGCTGAAAGTCAGCTTTCACTTTCTGAAGAAACAGGCTCAGAGATATTAAATGATTTAACAGGTTGTTGGCTCACGGCAGAGTGAATCTCTACCCAAGTTACTTTGACTACGAAAGCAGTGCAATTTATTGTATATAGAATACCAAAAGATGCCCAAGATTTTAATTCTTTTTGTCTCGGAAACAATTCCTTTATAATAAGAATCTAATTGTCTTCTCTTAAAAAAAATAAAGCAAACAATGCACAAAGCAGCCAACCATTCAAGGGCCCGAAGGTCACTCAGAAACCTGCACATAAATGGACTAACCTGCAGGTTACAAACCACTGGCTGTGGGGACGTCACAGTCCCATTGCAGTCCCATTCTGATGGGGCGTCTCAGAGGTGTTTCTTCTCTCTGTGAAATGGGGATAGTAAACTACTTCGTTCAACTCAGGTTTGTTTTTGAGGTCAAATACGTCTAAAATACAGAACAGGGCTTGGTGAACAATACAGCACAGTATGGAGTAAGGGAAAGACATTTTCTCAAAGCAGTTTTAGCATAGTTGGATGCTGTTTAAATCTGCGTTGCTAGACTGAAGGACTTCATACTTGTTTCTAGCTGCTTCCTCCGTGCATCGGGAAGCGGGCTCGAAACTGGCCGCAGGCCAGGGTACCGACACAGCCGGTGAAGGGCAGGACTGGGTGTGCGTCCGGGGCTAGCTCCCGGCTGCTCGTCCTGCACCGCATCCCGCCGACCTGCTAAGTGTTACTGCACAGGACAGAGCGCGGGGCGGTGCCTATTTCGAGCACATTTTGTACCTTAATGTTCCAGGAAGGTGCTGTTTCCATGGCAAGAACCCCAGCAGCGGGGCGGGGCGAGCTAATCAGCACAGACACCCAGGCACACCCCGGAAACCCCTGATTCAGGGCATCTGGGGACTTGGGATTCTGAACGAGAGCGCCAAAGGACCAGCCTGGAGTGGTTGGCAGCAAGAACGGCTGGCGCTCCGGCAGGAGCCGCGAACCGCACACAACCTTTGCAGGCAGGGCCCGCAATTTTGTTTCTTGTTGACAGATAGGACAGTAGCTTCTGTGGCACCTCAGAGTGTGGTTGAGAGCCAACGGCCTGTTGGAAAGACACCACCCGGGGCGGTGATCGGGAGCGGGAGGTCTCCGTGTTTGCGTCCCCTGTGCGCTGGTCCCGAGCCTCGCTCCACCTCTGATTGCCTGAGTGTCTCGGTTTTCCCCTTGCAGCCAGTACCCCAGCCTGTGGTCTGTGAGCAACGGCACCATCACGCCTGGGGCTCAGACGGCGGCGACGTCCAACGGGCTGGGGGCGCAGTTCTTTCGGGGCTCCCCCTCGCATGCTGCGCCTCTCACCCACCCGGCCCAGGCATCCTCCTCCGGATCCCCGCTGTACGAAGGGGCCCCCACGGCCACAGACATTCCCGACAGCCAGTACGATGCGTCGGCCCAAGCCCGCCTCATAGCCTCGTGGACGCCCGTGTCACCACCTTCCATGTGAAGCAAGGCCTGTGTTGTAACAGACGCAGGACTTCTGTGTGGGGCCTCCAGTGTGGATTTGGTTGATCCCCGGGTACAAAGTGGCAGCTCATGGGTCCAGGAAAGGAAACAGGCCCTATCACCCTCCCTGTAACATAAGAGGGATCCGTGCTCTCCTGTTCCTCAGGAGTGCGTGCCCACCGTCTGGGGCCACCGATGCCCCGCAGGCAAATTGGGCCTGGAAGCGATGCGGTCGGCCAGACTTACCACGATTCACAATAAAAATGATTTGCTAGGGTCCAGAAACTTTTGTTTGTTTCTCCTACGGCCCATGGGTGACTTGGCACATCGGAGTCCGTAAACCCCACCAGTCCTACATGAGCAAGAGAAAAAGCACACTTAATTTTCTTCCTTGTTGCTTGGGGATGGTTTCCAGGCCCTTTGTGGCGCCTGCCACAGTGGGTGCTGCGCTGTGAAGGACAGAAGCCTATCAAAGCTGAGGACAGCAGATTGTAGTAGAAACGCAGATTTGCCTGCTCTGCCCACTAGAATGTGTTTATTTTGAGCATAGGTAGTTAATCTCTTGTATTGTTAAACCTATGATTGTTTATATTTTTCTTTTAAGTAGCCAAAGACAATCAGCAGGAAACATTTTCTGCAAAATAAAGGCAATATCCAAATTTGGTTGGTCTAGTTAGTATTCAGACTCCTCTTTTTTTGGGCGAGATTTTGTGAAAGCTGGTGCGAAGACCTTGTCTGAAAGGGACATTTTAATCTGTTGTGAACTTTGGTACTTTCTCAAGTGAGCTGCAGAATGGGAAGTGAAATCTGCATGTATTTACTCAATGCTAATTACCACAAAAATGCAAAAGATGACAAATGATTTTCCAGAGATTTAGGTAGTCAGCACTGAAATCGTGGAAAATGACAGCATAAAACAGTAAAGATGAACATGAGATGTCTACCTGATTGGAGCAATTCAAACAAAAGCACATCAAATGAATTGACAAAAAGTTACAGCTTATATGTTTGGACAACATGGCGTTTATAAATATCTTCACTGCTTGTATTTCCAGCAGAGACCCAGAATGGTGCTTTGTGCTTGACTGGGGCAATTTCTCCATCTAGTGGCTGAATCCTTATTTTGATGCTACCTGTTGGAGCTTGATTGATCTTCAGAACCCCTGCTTGCTGAGAGTTACGGATGGCCAGCCCACTGGAGCTCGGCCAGTAAGCGGCATTATAGTGGTGTCGTGGACATTAGAGGTTAAGAGAAATAAGGCTGAGGGGTTTTGAAACTTCCCAAAGGAGAGGAAGAAGTGTTTCTAAAAGTCAGCCATTGCTCACTTAATTAGTTACCTCATCGAACCCCTGAGTTATCATTGCCAGGGGCTCAGTCCAGCGCTCGGGCTTCCTTCGAGTCCACCTGTGATTTCTGGGACACACACTAATCCCAGTTCGCACTAAGTTCGCACTTACTGAGTGTGAACTTAGTGCACACTCACTTACTGAGAACTTAGAACTCCGTGCCAAGAGCTGAGTGTTTAGAGTACTTGTGTCGGCGGTACAAGTGGGACATGGTTCTCCTCAACAGTTTGGTCCTTCCAAGTTTTTCTCGATGTCATAACTACTAGGTTTTATTGCTGCTCACATGTGGATATAGCCTAAATCAGACGATTTATTGACAAATGTATTAGAAGAATATTTTTTGGATGAACTGCTGCCCAGATAGAACTGGGAAACGAAACCGGTCCTAGTCTGTTCTGTGGCTCCTGCCCAGCCGAGGTACCAGCAGGGGCTGCTGGAGGAGGGCTGGACTTCGGGGGCGTGGACAGTCCCCTGGGATCCCGTGGCCACAGTGCTGGGAGCCCACCTCACCGAAAACTTGCAGCCCTCTGTAGCCGGCTGCTCTGTGAAGGCTGCCACCAGGGTCTTGTCCTCGTAGGGTCCACCCCAGGGTCCGTCCCCTGCCAGCCTGGCAAGTGTCAGGACTCCAGGACTGATCTGAGGGCACAGGAGGAGCCTGGGTGGAGGGTTCTGGAGGGCATGGCCAGGGAACCCGGGGAGACTGAGTCACACAGCCCTTTCTGCAGGGGCTGGAGAGACTGGTTTTACATGTAGAAGACAGGCAGGATCATGGCACGTTTGAGTTTCTCAGGGTGACCCAGATTCAGGGAATTAATATTTAAGTAAACCAAACAGCGTTTTTCTGGTTATGCAATGGGGCAGTGGCAGCCACATGGTGCAAAGAGCTTGCAGTTTGGTGCAAAATACCTGGATTTGAGTGAGAGTTACCCGCTCCAAAAATTCAAGTTCCTTATCGCAAAGACGAGAAAGAAAATGCTTGTCTATCAGGGTTGTTGTGAGAAATGAAAGAGATAAAGGTCTCGGAACGTGGGTAGAAACAGTAACATGTGCTATAGCCTCGTAGATAGGATTCCAAGCCAATAGAACAAATCGTTGCCTGGCTCTATTCATGGAACCCTTAGAATAAGGTATTGCTGCATAGAAGAAACACCTTGTCGAGATCCTCGGCCATCTGTCCTAATTCAGAATGCAATGGGAAAGTCCTATGAATTGTTTCTCTACCGAGATTAAGGTAGGTTCTAAATTTTTCACGAACAATAAATATGTAGCCCAATTTTTTTTTTTTTAGATTTTATTTATTTATTTGACAGAGAGAGACACAGCGAGAGCGGGAACACAAGCAGGGGGAGTGGGAGAGGGAGACGCAGGCTTCCCGCCGAGCAGGGAGCCCGATGCGGGGCTCGATCCCAGGACCCCGGGACCATGACCTGAGCCGAAGGCAGACGCCCAACGACGGAGCCACCCAGGCGCCCCTGTAGCCCAGTTTTTTAAAAAAGGAATTATACAAATTATACAATCTGAACTCCTTGTCTTTGGGATTACAGAGGGCCTGACTCCCTGTATGTATATTAAGGTGAAAGTGATCTTTAAAAATTGATCCCTGCCACTTTGAATGTTTGTGGCCCGATTGTTTTATTCTTTTTTCTTTTTGGGAGAATGTGGTGGTGATAGGGATTATGCCTTCTAAAAAGAAAAATACTTCTCAAAATATGTATTTAGAAGGAGAATGTGTCATGAACACATTCCTGACCAAGAATATGGGCAAGGGAATCCATGATATCTATGTAAGTTTAAGATGGTGCATCTGTAATCAGGTTAAAATTACAGCCAACCAGAAAAGTAGAAGCTCACATAAAGTTAAAGGGATCTAAACCCCCAATTTTATTTTTTTGGCATAATATTATACATATTTAAAAAAATGTGTTATCCCGCACTAGAAAATTACAGAGCTCTGTAATAAAAACACTACATTTGGATTATGGCAATACCCAGAAACCTACACGGGGTTTGTGATTAAAATCCTTTCTCCCCAGTTCCCAAAGCTACAGTTTTGAGAAGAAAAGCTTATTTTTCTCATATCTAAATATGTTTATAATTCTAATGTTTTTTCTTATATAAAAAAAGAAGAGGCTAAATGACTGTCTTATTTTTCCAATTAAAAAAGAAATTCCTGGGGCGCCTGGGTGGTTCAGTTGGTTAAGCGTCCAGTTTTTTATTTTGGTTCAGGTCATGATCTCAGGGCCACGGGATTGAGGCCCACATGGGGCTCCGAGCGCAGTGGGGAGTCTGCTTCTCTCCCTCTCTCTGCCCCACTTCCTCCCCTTCTCTCTTTCTAAAATAAGTAAATAAATCTTTAAAAAAATAATTCCAAGTTAGGAATTATAAATAAAATTTATTGTTTTTAAGTTTTAAAACATATTATTATAAAACTATGATATCATTAGCCTGCAGAAAGTTAGTATTTTATCAAATAAATTTTATATAAACATAACAGTGCAGTGTGGGTTTATAATATGCTTAAGCAAATATATGACCAAAGAGATTTAGGGTCGGGGAGACATGTAAGGTGCCCACACTACCCGAAGGCGTGGGTGGTGATGAGTGGAAGGTAAGTGCCATCAACTCAAAAACAACCACGAAAATAACAGAGTTGTAGCTCAGAAGTCAACAAAAGAGATAGAATGGAATTATAGAGAAAATATTCAGTTCTAAACAAGAAGAAAAAGGGTTCAAAGAGATGGGACAATTGGAAAACAAATAGCAAGATGGTGATTTTAAACTCAGCCATATCGATAATTATAATCAATGTAAACAGTCTAAACAAATCAAAGGCATAGGTTGTCAGACGTAGAAAGAAAGCAAGACCTAACTGTGTTCCCTACAACCAATGCGCTTTAAATCTAAAGACACACATGTGTTAGAAGTAAAACCACGGGAAAAGATATGCCATGCTAATACTAGTCAAAACCAAGTTGGAGTGTCTGTGTTCATCGTAGGTCAGCTGGGTTGCAGAGCACAGAATAGTCCAGAATAGGGCAAGCAAGGGGAACAATGGTTTGGGAACCGCCTGTAGGACACAGGACCTGGGCCTGTCCATGCACACCTTCCACCCAGAGGAGAGGGCCAGTGACACCTGCTGAGGGTTGGTGACTGGATGCATCACTGATCCTTCCACTTTTCAGTTGGGAATATTTATTGTGACTGTCTTTTTTTTTTTTTTTTTCAGGGCATGGGGGGTGAGGCAGAAACCTTTTATTTCCTAGAGTGGCATCCAGACGTGGTGTAGGTCATGAGACTGAACGTTGAGTCTGATGCTGGGATCATCTCTTTCCACCCGAGATGCTGTGACAGCTTGCATTATTGGCCTCTTTGCTCTTGCCTGTATCTGCGCCCTTCACCATATGGGACTTTTCAGCTCCTCTCCCAAAAGGCAGAGTCTCCTTTCTTACTTTTCATGTCCCCAGATTAGCCATGTGACCTACTTTGGCCAGTGGAATGTGGACAAGAGGTACAATATGTTAGTGGGGAGACAAGGCTCAATCACTTTCTCAAGAATGTTGCTGGGAGTTAAGCTCTTGCCTTCTAGGCCCAGAAGGTGTATGTACGCAAGGAGCAGAGCCGACCCGCGGAACTGCAGTGCCAAATGGAGCTTCC